GACTCAAACTCTGGAGAATATATTGGGGGCTTTATGGAGACAGCTTGTTCAACCACAGCACATAGGTCCAGCAAAGAAGTTATATGATGTTCATCAGTGCCAGGGGACATGGCCAGCTGCAGAAGAAATTCAACAGCTGATTACTGGCATTACTGTATATTTTATTATTGATGCTTTAGCACGGGGAACTACACCCATGTCAGGGGAACCCCCACTTCAGCCTCCTTCGGACCGTCCGAGCACATCCGAGGCGCATGTGACCACCGCCCCCTCGGGCGCTATGACCTACCCCGACCTTCGTCCTTGGCCTCCTTCGCCCGCACAATCACCGATCCGTCAAGACCCTCCCAACGATCACCTGACAGAGCCTGCGACGCCGCTCAGGCCTTCTGCGCTCTACGTTGGCAGTTACGGATGACCAGTATATAGTTGGCGCCCTAGCAGGCGGACCCTTAGAGTTTCTTCTCTTTGGATCCTCCCCTGCTAGGTCGGTCCCTCCGTGTATCTCCGTAGCTTTTATTCACGCTTTGGATCCTCCCCTGCTAGGCTTTCGTCGGAGTCTCCAGGGTTGCCCTTACAACCCAACCAAAGTCCCCCCCAAACGCTGGCACACCTTCACAGTGGACTTCATTGTCGAGCTCCCCGAGGCTCATGGGTATGACGTGGTTATGGTGGTTGTCAACGCTCTTGGCAAATGCGCTCACTTCACCAAGTGCTATACGATGGTAGATGCAGTTGGACCTGCCCGGTTGTACTATCGGAACGTCTGGAGATACCACGGAACCCCTGAGAAGTACATTTTGGATTGTGGTTCACAGTTCATTGCCAACTTCATGCATGAACTCTGGCGCTTAATCGGCGTCAAACCCGCCACGTCAACGGCTTACCACCCGCAGAACGACGGACAAACTGAACGTGTTAATCAGGAGCTAGAGCAGTACATCCGGATCTTCATGAACTACCAACAGGACGACTGGGACGAGCTTATCCCTGCCGCTGAGTTTGCCTATAACAATCACGTTCACTCCTCCACTCAACAGGTACCCTTCATGACAGACACAGGTTGGCGGGTTTTGAACCAGGCACCCGCTCTGAGCTGGAGTCAGGAAACGAGTTTTGTGATCAGATAGCAAACGGTGTCTCCAAAGCAAAGGCCGCGCTTGTTAAAGCCAAGAACGAGCATAAACGGTACTACGATCGGAAGTGTTCGGACTCCCCGAGTATCCAAGTCGGTGACAAGGTTTGGCTCGACGCCTCTGACATTAGAACGACTCGGCCCTCCAAGAAGTTCTTGCATAAGCGCCTTGGACCATTCAAGGTACTTGCAGAGGTTAGCAAGGGCCTACAAGCTAGACCTCCCCCCGCGTTACTCTAAGCTTCACCCGGTCTTCCCCGTTGTTAAGCTCAAACCCGCTAAGGATGACCCCTTTGATGGACGACCCGGTTACGACGTACCACCCCCCAAACTAGAGGATGGAGTCCTAGAATGGGAAGTTGAGGAAATCTTGGATGCCAGGATAAGGTATAAACGACTTAACTACTTTGTCAGGTAGAAAAGCTACGATGCTCCACATGACTCGTGGGTTCGGTTCAACCGCGCCTTCATGCCAGACAAAGTCGCGGACTTCTATCGGAGATACCCAGGTAAACCACGACAAAGACAAAGGGGGGGGGGATGTCAGGGGAATCCCCGTTTTGGCCTCCTTCCGACCGTCCGAGCGCTGATGAGTGCGGACAGCAAATGAGCTCTCTAACCAACCTAACCAACAAAAACAACCAAACTCCACTTTTTGTAGAGAGAGAAGATGTATAATATTGAGTAGCAAAAGTCGCAAAACCCAAAAATGTCAACTCCTTGTGCGAGAACAGGCCCCTGTGAACAGAGCCTTGGCACAGATGTGTAAGGTTGTAGGGTAGATACGAGTTTCTTGCGAAAAACATTGATTTTATGTGCCCCAAAGCGTACTATCAACGAAACTCCGCAATAGAGAAGCGCCAATACGATGCCCGGAGAGTGTGGATAACTCGGCTTCCCAGCTTTTGATTGACACCCATAACTCATATCTTGTGCGTTTGGCCTCAGCGGTAGTTGTCCCAACTCTCCTGGCGCAAATCCAGTGTTCAGATGTCCAGTTCCTCGTCAGTGTTTTAGAGTTGCCATTGATCGCAGGTCCAGGCCCCGATCAATTGAGTAGGTTTTCGCCGTTTAACCCTCCCTTGGCACTCTCGATCCTCCAGCATGATCCGAAACCACGTTCCAATGATGTCAGTCGTTGATACCAAGAGAGATAGGGGTATCCCTTATCTAGGAGAAGTCGACTTCGAGTCGCCACTGCGCGCCAAACCGAAGATGCCTTTTAGTTTACATTCCCTTTGGGTATTTTGTATAGGATTGGATAGATCCTAACAGAAAACGGGCTCTGCGACCTTTTCCTAGTCAAGATTTTGGAATCACTGAGCGCAATTTGATAGATTTTGACTGGTTCTTTGACAGATAACACCCTAGTTGACCATTCGGGACTCATGTCAACTCGAAGACGTGCGCTGAGCAACAAAATCAACAAAATAGTCGTTTCCTGGTCTGTCCCAGACTGCGGCTTATCAGCACATCCGAGGCACATCTGACCAGCGCCCCCTTGGATGCTCCAACCTACCCAACCCTCGTTCTTGGCCTCCTTTGCCCGCACAATCACCAATCCGTGAAGACCCTCCCAACGATCACCTTGGGACAGAGCCTGCAACACCGCTCAGGCCTTCTGTACTCTATGTCGGCGGTTACAGACGACCAGTATATAGTTGGCGCCCTAGCAGGCGGACCCTTAGAGTTTCTTCTCTTTGGATCCTCCCCTGCTAGGTCAGTCCCTCCGTGTATTTCCATAGCTTTTATTCACGCTTTGGATCCTTCCCTGCTAGGCTAATCATTCAATACCTTTGCGACGGTATAGTCCCGCTCAGTACCCTCCGCGTCTCTCAAATGGCATCGTCAACGAGCCAATGAACTTGGAGACATTCATCCGCCAGATGAAGCTATTCATAAGCTATCATTTCACCTCGGATAGAAGAAAATGGATCTCTTCTCTCTCTTGACTCTTATCTCTGAGCCAGATTCGGCGCGAGCAAAAGCGCAACTTGAGCCGAGCACCTCGATTCCTCCAAAAGCTAATTACATCATATCTAATCTACCCCCGCACCTCTACTCCTCCACAGCGCCGCCCTCGGTTTGACCTAGGCCCATTATTAGTCCTCGCTTGGACTGCCTAGTCCTTCTTCACCGCGGCTGACGAAATATATAATTCGTCAGGGGTGTCACACCACCGACCCCTGCCAGTGACGAATTGATGAATATAGTACAGTATCTCCACAGACCTGCAGTGCTGCTGGCTCATCGCATTTTTATCATACCAAGAATCTACAGATAAATTTGGAAGTTCTTCTATTTATCCTGTACCTTTCTCAGCGGGGGAATTCCTAAATCAGACCAGGGGTCATGACTCAAGATCAACGCAAGACTTAGGAACATACGTGCACCTCATCAACCACAACAACGACAGCGACGATGAGAGCGACGACGCCCGTGCTGCGTTTGCCGCTCAGGCTCCCACGTGCTGTGCCGCTCACACAGTGTGCACATGTCCCCAGCCCTGGCACCCAGACTGGTCACTGGGCTGTGGCTCAGGACGAGTTGCTCGATAACAGACTACTGTAGTAATTAGACCTTAAGTTCAGACCATCTTACACACTACACATTTATTTCAGTACAATCAAGTTTATCGATGATGATCAGCACATCAATTTCCTTATTTGGTATGCCGGTGATAGCCGGCCGCAAAATTTTGATGATATCTGTGAAATTTGATAGATTTGATGCATGATTTCTATGTTTACACATTACACATTTGCAGAAGTTCAGTTCGGGGAGGTGTCTTACCCATTACTCAAACTTAAGGTCTAATTACTACAGTACAGGCTCGCATGATGAGGTGATACCCTGCACATCGCCATGTCCGGACATGGTGGGAACCCGCACTGATGCCCGGCAGCTGCAGGATCCCTGATGCATCTTATTTTTCCCTCCCTCCGCCCGTCGACTCTCTTAACGTTTCCTTCCTTTCGGGCCCGAGAGCGCTTCTGTTCGGAGCACGGATGCCCTTGCGCCGTCTCTCTCCACGCTTCCGTACACGAATTGTCCAGCTCGACCGCTGCGCTTGAAGATTCGGCTCTGCACTCGATGGTGTTCTGTGTTGGGGACGACGGAACTTGGAAGTGCGGAGGAAGACCGTTCCCGCGATCACGTGGTCCGACGTCACAATCAACAACTTGACACTCAACCACCATGTCGATGGCAGCGCCGCTCCCGCCCGCCGGCGCGCTACTGTCGCTCATCCTGCAGCGCGCGCACTGGCATCAGCCACGATGGATTGCCCGGTACACGCGTACGGGGCAGCCGGCCGACGCTCTTGACGGTTCCGTGCGGGCCAGCCGCCAGAGGGCGCTTCTGTGTCTGGGTTCTCGGAGGCGGAGCACGGATGCCCTTGAGCCGGCTCCACGCTTCCGTCACGGTGCAAGAAGCGTCCCGTCCGACCGCCCGCCGCGCTTGAATTCTCTGGGCGAGCCGCTGGCGGAGTCCGGTCCGGGACGACAAGGGCATCATGATGCGCATGGCCGTCCTGAACGTACGCTATATTGTTATGCAGACGTGCGCCCTGCTCTACGCGTGCTGGACACACTCTTATCTTAGCACAGGGAACTCTACTTACTTGGCGGGAGGGACCCTCGTCGCTTTTATGCGGAGTTTCGCCTAACGCCGCTCGCGCCTTCCCCTCCGCAATTCGCCCTACGTCCCTTACCCCCGCCTTTATTCTAGGCCTCCGGCACGGGCTTCCGCGGCGGACACTGGCAAACGCGACGCGAGCCCGCCCTCATATGAAAACACGGCCGACCGCGAGAACGCTTCCGCATTCCCTCCCCCCACCCCCATTGCGTCCCCGACACTAGTACTCATGGCCGCCCCCCGTATTCTCACCGGCCCCGAGGTCGCTGCACACGCGAGCCGCGAGAGCTGCTGGATAATCGTTCATGGTGGGTTCGCCCTTACTCTATTCCTAGGTCGTCTGACGGTGTATTTTTGAAGGCAAGGTATATGATGTGACGGACTTCCTGGACGGTACGTCCTCCTTGTTCTGTCGTCGCGCTCCTCATTCTCACAACCTTGAAGAGCACCCCGGCGGATCCAAGATTATTCTCAAGTATGCTGGTAAAGACGCGACGTGAGTTGTTCATCTGCATCCCCGGTTCTCATTGTTCAACGCCTTTAGTGAGGCATACGATCCCATCCATCCACCGGACGCCATCACTACCAACCTGCCCGTCGAAAAGCAGTACGTCTACCTGCTGCGAATCCCTTCCCTCTACTAACATAAGGCAGCCTCGGCGCCATCGATGCAAGCACCGTCGCAAAGGTCGTCAAGGAGGTGACAGCGGAGGAGAAGACGCGGCTCGCGCTGATGGACGCGCGCCCGCCGCTCGAGAACATCATCAACATGCACGACTTTGAGAACGTCGCCAAGGCCGTGTTGCCGGCGAAATCCTGGGTGTGTCTTGTCTTCCGTTGGTAGGCATAGCTCACGCATGCAGGCGTACTACTCGTCCGCATCCGACGACGAGATCACGCTCCGGGAAAACCGCATGGCGTACCAGCGGATCTGGTTCCGCCCGCGCATCCTCCGGGACGTCGCCGCCGTCGACTGGTCGCATACCATCCTCGGCCAAAAGTCGTCGCTGCCCTTGTACATCGTGCGTCCAAGTTTCCTCTCTGACTGTTACTGAATACCACAGTCCGCCACTGCACTCGGCAAGCTCGGGCACCCGGACGGCGAGCTCTGCCTGACGCGCGCGGCCGGCAAGCACGGCGTGATCCAGATGATCGCCACCCTCGCCTCGGTCTCCCTGGACGACATCCTCGACGCCGGCGTGCCCGGGCAGCCCTTCTTCCTGCAGCTGTACGTCAACCGCGACCGGGAGATCACGCGGAAATACGTGCAGCATGCAGAAAAGCGCGGTGTCAAGGGCCTGTTCATCACCGTCGACGCGCCGCAGCTGGGCCGGCGCGAGAAGGACATGCGGATGAAGGCGGTCGACGACGACGCCGGGGCGAAGGTCCAGGAGGGGCAGGCGGACGTCAAGAAGGACCAGGGCGTGGCACGTGCGATTTCGGTGCGTTATAAATTTGGCCAGGGCACGTGATGATGATGATTTCTCAGTCATTCATCGACCCGAGCTTGTCCTGGAAGGACATCCCGTGGTTCCAGAGCATCACGAAGAGTAAGTCTTTTCCGCCCTCAGTTGCTCGCTAACGGCTCCCAGTGCCCATCATCCTCAAGGGCATCGGGTGCGCGGAGGACGCCGTGCTCGCGTACGAGGCGGGCGTGCAGGGCATCGTGCTGTCCAACCACGGCGGCCGCCAGCTCGACACCGCGCGGTCGGGCATCGAGGTGCTCGCCGAGGTCGTTGCTGCTTTACGGCTCCGGGGCTACTCACGTGACAAGTTCGCGATCTACGTCGACGGCGGGGTGCGCCGTGCCTCCGACGTGCTCAAGGCCATTGCCCTCGGCGCGTCGGCCGTCGGCGTCGGCCGGCCGTTCTTATACGCCTTCTGTGCGTACGGCCAGCAGGGCGTGGAGAAGGCGATCCAGATATTCAGGGACGAGTTCGAGATGAACATGCGGCTGCTCGGCGCCAAGACGATCGCTGACGTCGTGCCCGCGATGGTCGATACGGGGTCGTTGAAGAGCCATGTCGTGATGACGCCGGAGGATAACCTGTTCCGGGATACTTGTGAGTCTTCTGGGAGACGCCGGAGCGCTGCTGACTGTTGATAGACCAGCCGCTGGGGCTCGCAAAGTTCAAGGCTTTGTTGTAGATGACCGTTCGGCGCGCGCCCGGGCCAAAAGAAGTCGCCGCTTAGTTCAAGGCTTTGCTGTAGATTGGCGCAGATCTAGACATTGCATGTATATTATTATGGTGGTCACTTTAGGGAAATATCCCCCCGCCACATATTGCCACAAATCTTGTGTTCTGCGCGATTTTTCCGCATAATTTGGGTGTTACACCATTAGCAGAAAAGTCGCGGGGACACTCAGTGACATATTTATTTTGACAGCGCGACTTTTCTGTTGAATACCAGAGGCCGAACTGGTTCATCACCCCCAAAGTATGGCATTCACCAGAGCCAAACCTTATTTACACATCACTAAAGCTATCCACAATGGGTTGACTCAACTAGACCACTTATTTGAGTTTGTCTGTTAACTGATTATGAGATTTGTATGAGATATTCAAGATTACTAGACTAGTTAATAGCAGCTATTCAACACTGGAACAGGCTACATTATCAAGTTTATCTTCCAGACTGTAGGCAATGGCCTCATACAGGTAGTGCAAAGAGTTATGTACTGTCATTATTATTAGTGTCATAGTCTGCTACAGCTGATAACCCCTCCAAAAATACAGAATACAGTGACTAAGTATTGTTTTTGTTCTAACTGCTCTTCCAAAAAAGGCAATCACTAATAAATGCCACATAAGTCTCAGTATATAACTTTTTTTAAATTGGGAATGTGTCATGTAGGTAACATATATAATTTTATACTATCCTGGTCAGTTACAGGCAAATCCACCCAGAAATACAGTGCAAATATGAATAAAGGTTTGTGAATACCTTAAATTGATCATTTTTAGTCTATTGAACTCTATTCTAGATCTGTTAATTCAAGATCTGTTATGGCTTATATTGTAAGGGCAACCCCGGAGGTCTGAGATCATGGTCCTAGCAGGGGAGGATCCAAAGGCGTGAACATTGGTAAGCGAATACAAATGAAGCTGACCTAGCAGGGGAGGATCCAAAGAGAAGAAACTCTAAGGGTCCGCCTGCTAGGTAGCTGACTATATACTGCTTGTCCGTAGCTGCCGCTGTCGGGCACAGAAGGCTTGGGCAGCGTCGCAGGCGAGGTCCCAGGGCGACCGTCGGGAGGGCGTTGACGGATCGGTGATTGTGCGGGCGAGATGGAGGGCCGGACCGGAGTCGGAACCGGAATCGGACCGGGAATCGGGCGCGTCTCCGGGCCGAAAGGGAGGTTCCCCTGACATCACCCCCCCCTTCAAATGCGGCGTCCCGACGCATAGACCGGAACGGAATCGAGTCGAAGGTCGCGGAGGCGATGTGTCGTGGCTTGCCAGGGTACTTACGATAGAACTCCGCGGTTTTCTCCGGGGCGAAGACGCGGTCGAAGCGGACCCACTGGTCGTGCGGACGCGTCGTAGCCTTTCCATCTGACGGTAATTCAGCCGTTTATACCTCACCCTTGCGTCCAGGATTTCCTCTACTTCCCACTCCGGGACTCCGCCCTCGAGGTCCGGAGGGGGCTGGTCGTAGCCGGGGCGTCCGTCGAAGGGGTCGTCTTGGGCGAGCTCGAGCTTGACGACGGGGAAGACCGGGTGGAGCTTCGAGTAGCGCGGAGGGAGGTCGAGCTTGTAGGCACCTTTGCTGATCTCCGCGACTATCTTGAACGGTCCAAGGCGGCGATGGGAGAACTTTTCCGAGGGGCGAGTCGTCCTGATGTCAGATGCATCTAGCCAAACACGGTCGCCAACCTTAAACTCCGGAGACGGAGTGCGTCTCCGGTCGTAGTAGCGCTTGTACTCCTCTTTGGCCTTAGTGGCGCGGCCTTGGCTTCAGCAACACCAGTGGCGATCCGGTCGCGGAACTTGTTCACTGACTCCATGGCGGAACGGACTCCGGGTTTGAAGCCCATGCGGGAGCCGTCCCGTGTCCGTCATGAAGGGGACCTGCTGCGTGGAGGAGTGAACATGGTTGTTGTAGGCGAACTCCGCGGCCGGAATCAGCTCATCCCAGTCGTCCTGCTGGTAGTTGGTGAAGATCCGCAAGTACTGCTCCAGCTCCTGGTTGACGCGCTCTGTCTGACCGTCTGTCTGCGGGTGGTACGCGGTGGACGTGGCGGGCTTGATGCCGATTAGACGCCAAAGTTCTCGGGTGAAGTCTGCGATGAACTGCGAGCCGCGGTCGGAGACGTACTTCTCCGGAGTCCCATGGTGCCGCCAGACGTTCCGGTAGTAGAGGCGGGCTGCCCCTACTGCATCGACCATTGTATGACACTCCAAGAAGTGGGCGCGCTTTCCGAGGGTGTCAACGACAACCATGATCGCGTCGTACCCGTGGGCTTCGGGAAGCTCTACGATGAAGTTGACAGAGACGGTATGCCAGCGTTCCGGGGGCGTTTCCGTAGGGTGCAGCTCTCCGTGGGGCAGTCTCCGGAGTGCCTTGGTGCGACAGCACAAGTCACAGGTCGCAACATACCGGCCGATATGGCGAGACATCTGAGGCCACCAGTAGTTCCGGGAGACCAACTCCAGGGTCTTGGAACGACCTGCGTGTCCGGCGACTCGGGTGTCATGGCAGAGCTCGATGATGCGTCTCCGGAGGTCCTTGTCCTTTGGTACGACAATCTTTCCTCGGAAATGGAGAAGACCGCCGGAGACGGCCCACTCGTCAGAACGTGAGGAGCGGGGGCCTCGAGCTTGTCCTTGAACCTTAAGAAGTTGCCGGGCCGCTAGTGCGACGGGCTCCTCCAGGTCAGGCTCACCGAGAGGGCATCACGGATGTCACGGAGGAGTTCAGAGCCGGGACCGGAAACGGAAACGCCCTCGAGTGCGCGGACGTGGAAGAGTTCAGGCCGCAGAAGGACGACATCGGAGTTGTCGGAATCGACTCCGTGGTCGGGTCTCCGGGAGAGGGCGTCAGGCCGACCCATATCGCGGCCAGGCTTGTGGTGCAGCGTGAAGTCGAACCGGGAGAGGTACAGAGACCACCGGGCCTGTCTCCGGTTGAGGTGCTGCGTCTTCCTGAAGTACTCCAAATTCTTATGGTCAGTCCAAATCTCGACAGGGTGCGCGGCGCCCTCGAGGAAGTGTCTATACTCCTCGAGTGCGCGGATGATGGCGAGCATCTCCTTGTCGTGGATTTCGTAGTTGCGCTGGACATCATTTAAGCTTTTGGAATAGAATGCTACAGGGTGCCACTTCCCGTCCGGGGCGGATTGTGAACGAACCGCCCCCCGTCGCATAATCAGAGCTGTCCGCCTCGAGTCGGAAAGGCCGTGTGTCGTCCGGAATCGCCAGGACCGGTTCCGAGGTGACTGCGTCCTTGATCGCTTGGAACGCGGAGGCCTCCGCATCGCCCCAAGTCCATTGCTGGTCCTTCTTGGTGAGCACGAAAAGAGGGCGCGCAAGGGTCGAGAAGTCCCGAATGAACCTGCGGTAGAAGTTAGCGAACCCACGGAACTGCTGAATGTCCTTCTTGTTTTCCGGAGTCGGCCAAGCGGAGACGCCTGCGACCTTGACGGGGTCCATTTCGACGTGGTTGTGGGAGATGATGACTCCGAGGTACTCAATTGACGATTTTTCAAAGTTGCACTTCTCTGCTCGAAGGTACAACTTGTGCTCCCGGAGTCGCCGTAAGACCTCCTGGACAATCTGCCGGTGTTTCCGGAGGTCAGAATGGGCGATCAAGATGTCGTCAAGGTAGATCATGACGTCTCCGGAGAGGATGAGGTCCTGAAAAATGTCATTCATCATCGTTTGGAACGTCAGGGAGAGTTTGTCAGGCTGAAATACATCACCAAGGGCTCGAACAGGCCTTGGTTAGTCCGGAAAGCCGCTTTCCACTCGTCACCTTCCTTGATCCGGACGTTGTTGAAGCCCCAACGGACGCCGAGTTTGGTGAAGTAACGAGCGCCTTTGAGCCGGTTGATGAGGTCGTTGATCAGCGGAAGGGGGTACCGGTTTTTGACAGTCATCGCGTTGAGAGCACGGTAGTCCTGGACGAGCGGAGTCCGCCGTCCTTCTTCTTGACGAAGAAGACCGGAGACGCCATCGGAGACTTGGAGGGGCGAATCCGGCCCGTCGAAAGCCCTTCCTCGATGAACGCGTCGAGCTCGCGTTGCTCGAGGGGCGAGATGGGGTACACCTTGCAGTTGGTGGGCTTAGCGTCGGGGACGAGTTCAATGGCGTGGTCCCAGGCTCTCCGCTCCGGTAGCGTGTCGAAGGACTCCTTGTTGAAGACGTCCCTGGAACTCCTTAGCCCAGTCCGGGATCTCGGAGGGCGGAGGGGCGGAGTTCCTGGCGAAGGCTTCGGCCAGGCATTGCGAGACAGTACTGCCAGCGCGTATCTCCTCCGAGGGGCGGAACGAGGTGTAGAAGATGCGGTCACCATCTTCAAGCTGACCATCGTCATCGTCGTCGGCCGGAGTCCAGCGTCAGATCAGGCAGGCCGGAGTCGTCACCGGAGACGGAATCGTCTCCGTCATCAGACCCAGAAAGGTCCATGGCGCAGACCGAGGGGAACGGGCCGGAGCGGAGACGCTTCTGAAGCGACCGGAGTCGCCGCAACTCGGTCCGTTCGACCCGCTCTTCCTCACGGCAGGTCGAGCAATCGCGGGGGCACCGTGTCATCTTGACCTCCTTGGTTTCCCAATTGATCTCTGGGTTATGTTTCTGCAACCAGGAATACCCCGGGATGAGGTCTTGCTTGCCAAGATGGGTGACGGCCAGCTGAACTCGTTCGGCATGGCCCTTTGTAGCGCAGGACCAAGTCCGCGATCTGTTTGATGGAGCCAGCGTCATTGGGGGTGCCATCGACATTGAAGACCGGAATCGGCTGATCGAGGATGCGGACCGGAATGCCATTCCGAGCAACATAGTTCGTGTCAATGAAGTCGGAGGTGGCACCACAGTCGACAAGCCCAGAGAGTGAGAGCTTCAGCGCGCTGGTGGTGGACTCGAGCTCTAATGGGAGGTGGAGGGAGTTCGCCCCAGGGGCAGCGGCAACGGTGTACTGCTTGGGCAGTTTCTTTTCCCAGGCAGTGAGGCGGCGGAGGACGATGACCGGAGTCGCGGGCGGAGTCGGAGACGGAGTCGAGGCGGGGACAGGAGAGGGTGTGTCTTTCGTTTCGGGCTCATTGTAGGGCAAGGAACTGCATTCATCATACAAGGAGGCAAAACGATTTATAGACGCGAACGAGGGCACACCAGTCACTCGTCGCGGGGACAAAATCCTCTCCGGCCATCGACTCCGCTGCCGTCTCCGGCAGGGCAGCTGTGTCCGTGTAGCGGGCGATCAACTCCGCTAACATCTCGTCACCGAGTTGTTGGATCACCTCGCCGAGGATGTCCATCGAGCGGACATCGGCGGGGAGGGGGCAATCCCGGGCGAGATGGTTTGGGTCGCCGCACCTGAAGCAGGCGCGACGAGGGGCACCCCGGGCCTGGTGCGATCCAACTCCATAGGGACGGGAGCTGGAGGCGCCGGAGCGGGGGCGCGGGCCGGGGGTGGCACGACCGGAGCCACCGGGCGGAAAGGGGCCGGAGCCGGGATGCGGTTGACCGGAAACGGAGTCCGAATCAAACCGCCAGGCGTCTTGGGGGTGGCTGACTTGATCAGCTTGGCCCGGACCAGGGCCTCGTATTGACGGAAGGCCCGGGTGCGCCAGCTAAGGTAGTCCCGGAGGTCCGGGGGGTCGTTCGAGGACGTGATTCCGTTGTTGATCAGGGGATCAAGTCCGTGGCGGAACTTGGTCACCTTGACCAACGTGTTCGAATCCGGCGAGGTCCATCAGGTCCTCGAAGTCGTCGGTGTACTGGTAGACATCCTTTGTACCCATGTGATAGGCGGAAGTCTCCAGCTTGAGAGAGCGTGATCTTGGTCATTCTCCTCGACGAACCGGAGTTGAAACTCGGAAACGAACGAGCCCCCAGGACGGAAACGGAAACGGGGCTTTGCTTCCGTGGCGCTCCGCCCATTGCTGAGCGGGTCCTTCTGCCATAAACGACATGGCATAGCGGACAGCCCTTTTCCTCGCTCGCCTCTCCGTTGACCACGAAGGCCTCAGGGGCAAGGCGGGCGTAGGTGCGGACCGCGTAGAGGAACGCGCGGCCGCGTTTACGGTCGCCGTTGAAGGTGAACGGGGGGTTTGGTCGCAAGACCAATTTTGAGGCGAGGTTGATGTCGTCAAAGAGGGCTTGGGAATTGCCCTGGACCGGAGTCCGAGAGTCCGAGTCGGAATCGACGTCTCCGGCGATAGTGTTTGGGGTCCGCCAGCATTATTAGCGGCGGCAGCGCCAGCGGAAGCCTGGTTGGTGAGTAAAGCAAGGGCCTCAGTTAGGCTATCGATTTTCGCCTCGAGTGAGTCCAGCCGGGCGTCTGCGGTAGGAGTGACTCCGGACGGCATGACGGGTGCGGGGACCACAGGAGTAGAGGAGGAGGGGACAAGTGGCAGGGGCGGTGACGAGGGCGGAACAGACTCGTACTCCGAGCCTGAGTCAGCGCCGAACCTGGCAATCTTGTCCGGTTGATCCCGTAGAGAGTTTCTTCTGCTGTAAGGGCAACCCCGGAGGCCTGAGATCAAGGTCCTAGCAGGGGAGGATCCAAGGAGAAGAAACTCTAAGGGTCCGCCTGCTAGGTAGCTGACTATATACTGCTTGTCCGTAGCTGCCGTTGTCGGGCACAGAAGGCTTGGGCGGCGTCGCAGGCAAGGTCCCAGGGCGACTGTTGGGAGGGCGTTGACGGATCGGTGATTGTGCGGGCGAGATGGAGGGCCGGACCGGAGTCGGAGCCGGAGTCGGACCGGAATCGGGCGCGTCTCCGGGCCGAAAGGGAGGTTCCCCTGACATATATACAGAGTCCTAAGGTTCCAACCATTGACTGTCCATCTACAGTGAATGGCTATATGGTATTAAGGTATGGATAGTGTTGAATTCACCCCACTATACTGGAATATTATGATGCTAAGTTTGTAATTATTGAGTATAATAGTAGATAATATGTTATTTTATATTATGATTTGATATATTCGCATATCTACTGCAGCTCTGTTGTCTGAGCACAACATTAATGATCTCAGTTGAAGTTATTGAAAAAGGATTAGAGCTGCCAGAAGTTGATGTGAGCTAGCCAAGACTGCATATAAACTGATATGATATATCATAGCCACCAGAACAGTCAATTAACAGATACTAGGTAGATCAAGAGGACACTTGAAGTGCTCACGTCTTATATAGTATTGTACTGCACTGGAACAGGCCTTAGTATGCCTTTGCGGTGATGTGTAAGTATGGCTGGGCTTTGAATGCTAAATGATGAACCTGGTCCGAGTGGGCCACTTATAATTGATAGAAAAGTCGCGCCATCATGCAGGAAAGTCGCACCATCATACAGAAAAGTCGCGCACTGCAAAAAAGTCATGTTCTGATAGATAAATGTGTTCTGAACATTCACGCAACTTTTCTGCAAAGTTTGTCATAAATTATATTGCGCAACCAAAAATGGGCAGAAGAATCACGCAAAACGCGAAATTGGTGACAATATGTGGCAGGGGAATATTTCCCCAAAGTGACCACCATATACACCGGAGGCATGGACCGTGGCATCAGGCTGCCTGATGCTTAACGGGCATCAGGTGCGCACTGAGCAAACTTCTGGCATGTGACATGAGGTGACCATGAGGCTGTAAATTGATTAGATATGATTCAAGATAACTCTGAATTCACAATTAATTCCCTTCTTACTTGAGATGTATTCAAGTATACAGTCAGTATTGGATGAGGGCAACTTGGTTGTGTGACCCTTACTTATATCTCACTAAAAATGAGTTTATTTCTCTATGGGATGTTTTTTTATTTTATTTTAAAACCTGCTTAACTCTCATCCCACACCCATCTGACTATTCTGACCACTATTTAGCTACATAGGGGAGTCCAAATCATAGATCACCTCTTGGAGATCCTAAAGCAGCCTGCAGCCTCCCCCTCTGGGCATGTGTGGATACCCAGATTTGGACTGGCAGGCTACTAATGGTCTGCTTCCACTAATGGTTAGGCTAGCCATAATTAGCATGCAGTGTATGGCAAGCAGTCTTAAGCTACAGCTATTGGAGTCAGCCATCTTATCTTACCTCTTGTTTTGCCACTATCAAGCTTTGTTTGGGTTTGAAGGCATATAAAGATCTAAATATTACTTTCTATCATATTAACCATAAGGAAATTATTTTTATTTCAATAGTGTCTCACAGGTGCCCTCAGTTCCTACAGCAGCATGAATAGCAGCTACTCAAATAAAAATACGGAATATTGCTAAGCCTCATGGCAGTGACCTGTCACATCTGCCAAAGCTTGCCTGAGGCTCGCCTGATGCCCGTAAATCATCAGGCAGCCTGATGCCACAGGCAATGCCTCCGGTGATATGTATATATCCTTCATTCCAATTTCCCGCGCATCTTCAACCGCCGTGTACATAATTCAACTAACCCCCATTTCCCGACTTGCTGCAGACATTCAAGTTGCCCCCAGTGTCAAGCCAGTGAGTCCCTTGCCCCGCTTTAAGTTCTGCTCCAGGACGACCTGCCAAGTATTGCGCGCCTTCAAGTTCTTCTTGTCCATCCGCAACGCATCCAGCCCCCAAGGCTACATCAATCTGTCCCAGCATCCGACCCAGGGTACCCAGGCGGCGGCTCATCAACGTTGCCATAGAACGCCATACCCGTGTTCTGGCTCTGGAGGCGTGAATACAGTATCCGGACAAGCTCGTCGTTGGGAAGCGCCGCGGCCGCTGCGAGTGGCGGCCCGGGCGGGGCGTGGACTTGTACATGTGCCGGCTCCGAGTCGGGCCGGTCGTCCCGGGCGTGTTCGGCGATGGGTGCAACCTCGTCTGCAGCTGGGCCGGGAGGCGACCTGCTCGTACTCGTGCTCGGCCCCGGCTCTGGCTGGCGGCGCTTCTCAGCAGCTGTCGCTCTGCGGGAGGAAGTCGGCAAAGTCGGCGCCGGTGAGGTGAATGGACTTGTCGACGCCCTGCTCGATTTTCGCCGCAGATGTCGAATCCAGAACAGCAGTCCCCCAGAGCAGAGCAGCACGACGGCCCCTACGACGATGCCCCCCGCTACAGCTCCCGTGTGTGATTTGGGATGGTGGGCGGAAGTACTAACGGTGGTAGCTGAGCTTGCCGGTGATGTGGACGAGCTCGTTGCCGACATCAAGCTCGAACCACCGGTATTTACTGCCGCATCGAGCGTATAAAACGGCACAACCAGCCCACTGAACGTTTCCGTGAGGGTCGCCTTGGCTGTCGGAGGAAAGCTCGCCGGAAAGATGTCGTAGACGCAGACGCCCTCCGTGTTTGCCTCGAATACGCACGACTCGAAGTCCAGCCCCCCGACACTGGCGGTGCCCTCCTCGAAGTGCGATGCGTCTTCGCGGAATGTCGCTATCGACGGTTTGAGTACTATCTAAGTCACCTGCGGTAAGTACCTTACGCACCCGTGAACGGCTCGTCTGAATTCAATGCAAAGGTCCCCAGCACGACGGTCCCCGAGACGTCCAATACCCCCGAGTCGTACCCGTACTCGACGTAGGTCGTGAGTCCATCAGCGCCGACGCCCGCCCTCGAAACCGAGGTGGCCGTGGCGCCGATCTGGTCCCAGGGCCCGACGAGCGCGGTGACCGGCACGGCTTCGAGTGTGACGGTTGGCGCAAGGGCTGTTGACCCTAGCGCTGGTGGTACAATGAGTGCGGTGATTATGTTTCGTTGGAATGCGCTGACCGAGCACCGTGGCGACGAGGAGTTGCAGGAACATGGGATGTAGTGTTTTCTCCTGAGGGGTTGATTGAGCCGACGGGGACTGGCCAGGTCAAATGAGTATATCAAGGACGTGATATAGTGGAAAGCGGGACCGCGTCAGGCGCTCGCCCGGGTCCGAATCTGCTGAGCTCCCGCTCCGTCCATCGTCTGTCTTTGATGCTGCCCTTCAGAGGATATTATCGACTCAATGGGGGTGGAGTCGGTTCGCAAGATGTGTGATGTCCCAAATTTGCCACGCCCAAGAATAGACGCATTGCAAGTGCGGTGTCCCGCTTCATGGACGCAGATAACAAGTTTAGCACTTGTGGTATAATGTTGGAGAACGCGAGCGGGTAGGGACTGGGGGAGAAGTGAAAAGCGGGCGTCAAAACAGTGCAGCTATTTCAATGCTTTAGTTCAATTAGTTGCCGTGGATGACCAGGCGGGGGAGCAGCTGGACGAGGGCCGCGCGCGCTTCCTCGGGAAGGAAGACGCGTACCAAGGAGAGGGATGTCACGGCAGGCGACGTAGAGAGGAAGGTGCGGAGGAGCGGAGCAAGCACGTGCACCCGGGTGTCGTGCACTGTGTCGAGGGCCAGCGATTCCAAATCGGGGGCGGTCAGCGCGCCGAGAACACCGGACACAAACTCCATTGGGCACCGGGAGATCCGCAGGCTGCGCAGCGCCGGCGCAATGCACGCAGACAATTCCGTCTGGGCAACAAGAACCATCGCGGCAACCACAAGCGTGTGCAGGCTGCGCGCCGTCCGCAGGATGTCGAACATCACGGGGGCGTCGACACGTGTGAGCGTACAGCGCGTCACGTGTTGCCATGCCTCTGGGAAGGGCTCCCGGATCGGCGGTTTGGGGAAGGAAATGTGGATATCGTCGACATGCGGGGCCCGAGCCGCCAGCGCCCTGAGGCTGGTGGGGCGCATGCGGAACAGGGTCAAACTCCTCAGAGCCGGGAATGCCGCCGGGGAGGTGTTCAGGAGGGTCCGCTGCGCTACAGTAAGGTCGAGGACGAGTGCCTCCCACCGGCTTGTGCTGGTCAGCAGCAGCGTGAAGAGCGTTATATCTGGATGGGAGAAGCGGACGTTAAGCATTGTTTGTCCGGAACGCGCAAGCTGGAGGCCAAGCATGTCGTGTAACCCCGGCGGCCTGTACTCACGCCCGTCGACCTTCCGCCCAATATTCACATCCCGCCATAGCAACGCCGTCCCGAGCGCTACCGCCCGCCAGCGATGGCACACTGTCGCTGCCACGTGTACCCGGCAATTTGCTGTGGCCAAGGGCGAGAGCGCGTGAGTGTGCTCAAAGATTAGCGAGAGCAGCTCGGGCGGGAGGTCCGCTGCCATCGACATGGTGGTTGACCGTTAAGTTGTTGATTGTGACGAGTATCCCGTGATCGTGAGAACTCGACATTTGCGCTTTCCTCCATTGTCAGCACCGTGACGTACCGCAAACGTACTCTGTCCAGGAGATTCGCCGCTGGTCGTGTGCTACTCGCTTTGCATTGAATCTTGGCCACTGGCTTGGGCATGCCCGCTGCCGACTTGGGTGTGGTGAAGATCATCGCTGAGTGTCAGAGTGTAGCAACCGCCGTCCGTAGCCTCGCCATCCGGATTCCGCAGTTGTTATCACTCTGGCCAAATTTCGAAGATCCGCGGGTTGCTGGGAGGGCTAAATTTGCGATCGGTCAGCGCGGCTATGCCAAATGTATCAGTCTACAGGCTGTGCAACACGCAGCAACAGCCGACACAATGTATATAAGTTGGCGGGTGTGCCCATTCCTGCCTTTCCCCACCACTCAAAGTTCTTCCTTCAAGTCTATCATAACTTTACCTACCTATATGTCTCAGACAATATCTCATCCGCAGCCTACATATATCATCCACGCTGGTGGTATGCATCTATTAACACTTGAGCTGTCATTATTCAAACTATCTAGGTGGTATGGGAGGCAGTGGTGGTCCAGGTACACAGCAGGGAGGTTATGGAGGATCTGGAACTGGTGCAGAGCTCAACTTCTATGGAGATAACTACAGGTAAATAAACTTTAACTAGGTAATACTGGAATGAAGCACTTACCATTTCTAGGATTGTGCACCAGCCAGGACCTACACAAGGTAGAGCAATAGGTCTATTTAAATTCTTGAAACTCACTTGGATTATTATCCAGATGATACTGAGATCTTTGTCAAAATTGCAGAATGGCTTTCACCTTTGAATTTTGCACCCCGCCATCAGGAAATTAAGAACAATCGAGTACAGAAGAGTGGAGGCTGGTTTCTCACAACCAATGAGTTCCTGCGGTGGAGATCAACACCAGGAAATGTTCTTTGGTGCACTGGCATTCGTAAGTGCAGAGTATTATTTTATATAAATTCTCAGTTGATAAATTCCAGCGGGTGCTGGTAAAACATACCTTGCGTAAGTCAAATTTGATTTGATTTCACAAGTAACAGTCCCTTTCAAGGTCAATAATCATAGACCATCTCCAACAGATCAAGGATAAATCTATAGGGGTGGCCTATATCTATCTGAATTACAAGGAAATGGAGAGCCAAACTCTTGAGAATATTCTTGGGACCTTGTGGAGACAGCTCTTCCAAGATCAGAATATATACCCAGTGCAGAAACTGCTCAATAAACACCAGAGAGAGGGCACAAGACCAACAGCAAGTGAAGTTCAGCAGCTGATTATTGATATGACTTCTACTATGAACAGGATGTATATTATTGTTGATGCTTTGGATGAATACCCAGAGCATCAGCGGAATTCCCTTCTCACTCATCTTCTTCAGCTAAGCCCAAGTCTTAACTTGGTAATCACCTGCAGAACACACATTACTCACTTCTCTTGGGAGGAAAGATGGAGACATCTATCTTTCATTACATTCACAATCAAAGCCAATGAAGATGATCTTAGAAATTTCATAACTACTCAAATTGAACATCATGATCACCTTATTGGAATTATCCAAGGCAACCCATCACTAAAGGCTGACATACCAAACAAGATGATAGCAAATGCTCATGGAATGTAAGTAGAAAACAAGTTGAACCTATATTTGTAGCAATAATTGCATAATAGGTTCTTATTAGTAAAACTTCAGCTGGATATCTTGTTCTCAGCAGTTAATACACAGACTCTGGAGGATGCTCTAGACAGCCTGCCTGATACACTCCATGATACCTATAAGCAGACATGGAAGCGTATAGTCTCACAGAAAGAAGCATTTAGAAAAATTACCATAACAAGTCTAGCATGGTTATGTTATGCCAAGCGGCCATTGAAGCCTCAAGAGTTACAGAAGGTACTTGCAGTTATGCAGTATAAGGCTATGCCCAGCTATAAGGCAATGGTCCAAATAGACCATATCATTGCATGGTCAGCTGGATTGATTGTAGAAGATCACAAGCACAGTATTTTACGCCTAATACACTATACAACTCAAGAATTCCTCATGAATCTATTGGACATAGAGCTTCCAAATTTTGACATTCAAATCACCAGGACTCTATTGGACTGTTGGAAATTTGACAACTATGAATACTCAACTGGATACCATAACCAAATTCTACTGCATGCAGCAGGTTCTTCAGAGTCTGAGCTAGCATTACCCCTCATAGAGTGCATAGAACAGATAATTTCTGCCGGGATGGCAAGATATATTATAAGCTGGGACCATAAAGGCATTGATGATTACAGTTACACAACCTTAGAAATTGTGGCCAGCAGTAATTTAAAGGTTCTAACTGAATACCTGCTTTGCCAAGGAAGCTGTGAGGCTCGGTTTGAGCTGATAGGTGCAGCAGCTAATGGTCATATAAATATAGTCAAAATATTGTTACAATACAATCAAGATTTAGATGGCTATATTGATAGATTTTATAGACACTGTAAGACAGCATTGGCTGCTGCTTGTTCAGGGCAGCATAGAGAAATTGTTCAGATCCTTGTGGATGCTGGGGCTAATATTAATCCACCAACATCTGAAAGTATTCTTTTGTTTATCTATCCACTCATGATAGCCTGTCGAAAAAGAAACACAGAAATTATGACAATACTTGTGAATGCAGGGGCTGATATGAACCATTCTTCTGTTAACAATGTACTTGTTCATGCCTGTGTATGTGGCACCATAGATATTGTCAAAATCCTTATAAATGCAGGGGCTAATGTGAATAAATGTGATGATTTTGGTTATACTACTCTTGCAACTGTCTGTAAGAGGGGGAACATAGAATTATTTTGCTTTCTCTTGACTGCGGGAGCAACTGTGAATAGTTTCCACAGGGATTATCATACCCTACTTGAGATAGCTCATAGCCGTGGTTACACACCAATTGTTGAAATTCTTCTTCATGCTGGTGCCAGTGGATATCATTATGGTCCTGCACTTTGGGCAGCCTGCAACAGTGGACACACAACAAGTGTTGAACTTCTTCTTAGTATTGGAGTCAATCTATATGACTTTGAAGATCATTATGATACTGCACTATGGGCTGCCTGTAGTAGTGGGCATACAAAATGTGTTCAACTGCTTCTCAATGCAGCAGTCTATATAAGAAATCCTGACTATTATTATACACCTGCAATTTGGGTAGCCTCTTGCAATGGGTATACAAGAATTGTTGAGCTGCTTATAAAAGCTGGGGCAAAGATTAATGATTCAAATAGTGATTATGGCACTGCACTTCAGATAGCCTACAAGCATGGGCATACAGAAATTATCAAGATTCTTCTCAGGGCAGGAGCTAGCAGGTAATCCAGGAGGTGATATAATTAATATAGTATTATATTGTTGTACCTAGAATTCCATTATAATATTCAACAATTTATAAGAAAGGTTGATCATGGAATTTGTTTATAATCAAAGACATTTTGAAAAATAGTTGTACAGGCACTAGTTGGTCTGTTACTTGTCATGATTTAGCCTCAGATATCAGTAATGTCATATACTTGATGGACAGTCATGTAGATGAGAAGTACATTGTTGAATGGAAACTTGAATTTCATTGGCCTAGATGGAGTTCTAGGAGCAACTTGATCCAAGAACTCCACATTAAGTCAGTGGGATTTGTTGATTGTGGAAATAATGGCAGAATGTGAAAAGGTGATCAAGTAAGATCATTGGCAGTAAACTCAGATAGTCTGCCTAGAAGGCTGAATCAAACAAGTCTTCAAATTCACAGAAGTGTAGTAGAAGGCCTTGGAGTGGGGATGAGGGTAAAGCTGGGGTAAATAATCCCACAAGAATAAGATTACAGATGATATCTCTTAATACTTGTTTGATTGCAACAGTCTAATCTTCTTGATTTCTGTTCTATAACCAAAAATACTTGAGTTGTTGAGGGCTAGTAAAAACAAGTACTTCAGATCACTGATATCAGTAGTTATCAGAAAATGATTGTGAGGCGATAAAATGTGATTTCAATCAAAAACACTATACAGGTGCCCCTACATGAAATTACAAGTGAGAGAGGTCAGATGGAGATTAAAGGATGGATCAAAAGGGACTCCTTGTTTAAAATCTGCTTCTTGTATAGCTTTTGGAGGTCTGCTGATCTAATATCTTAAAATAACTTCAAATGACTCTATATTACTCCAAGTTAGATTAAGTCATATCATGTTTAAGAATGTTGATATAATACTGGTCTCAATCTATATGTATTTGGGTTAAATTTGGTTCTAAATCTTATTCTGACTTGTTTTGGCAGTTCAGCATAGTTAATCATTGATATTATTGATAGGATTGCTTTAAAATGTTGGCCCCCAGATTTTCCAGTGAGCATTTTCATTCTATTATTGTATTTAGTTGGCAATGAATTTACTATAGGACGTAACCTATATTTATCTTGTCATAGCTACATCCCATTCCAGGAAGCACTCCAATAATTTTCTCTTGTTTTTTGTCACAAACTTGATTATTTCAAGTTTTTTGGAATATCTTGTTTGTGCACATGTGACATTCTTGTTAAAAAAATACATTATTATTCTTTATCTAGTTTCCTATAGGTTATGACAAGGCCCCTATCTGAGTAATGTTTTTAATGTGGAACCATTTTTGATGGCCATCAGTACTTTTGATGGCTATATCATAGTACATCAATTTTGTCCTAATTAGGATTGTTATTGATTCAGGCCTTCCTAACTATAATCCGGGTCATCGGCCTGAAGAAAAGGAGTTAAAAGCATTATATATATATTATTATCAAATTATATGTATCTTATACCCACTTATTACATTATTGATGCTATTTAGTTATCTGCCTATTAGATAGAAAAGGGCTTGGAGAGCTAGGTACAGATAGCCCTAGGTACAGCTACCCTCCCCGGCAACCATTTTCCTACCTGTACCTAAGGCTGAAGGCTAAATCTTACAGCTACGGGTGCATATGCCTACGATCAGCATCATATAACCACTGATGCGATCAAAAAATGGCATAAATTTAATCTTTGTGAAACTTTTCTTTGCAAAGAAATTTATGTATGTGTATATGTATATGTGTAGATATGTATGTACCTGGAACCTTCAAACACACAATGTCACACATATGACAGGCCTATATCAACTCTTCGATGGGTTCACCTCCCATCAATTACCTAGCGATGGTGGTGTCTGGTTCGACCTTCCGGTTCAAACCTGAACCGAACGCGCGTTCAGGTTCAAAGTCCAGTGCAAGGCTGAACCTGAACCTGAAGTTCAGTTCAGTGTTGTAATGCCAAACGCCGGAGGCACCGGACTGCCTATCAATCAGCGCCATCACCGCCTACATCATTGGGACTGGTACCCTACTAGTGCGCCGCGCGGCCCGGGAGCATGCATGTAGTAGATGCACACGCAGAGAAGCAGTGCGGCCCAGGCCCCCAGCACGCCAAGGACTCTCACGCTGACCACAGCGCCAGCAGGGAAGAGGGAGGCGAGCAGCGGCAGGTTGGGGGCTGGGTGTGGCACCGGCGCCAGCGCCGAAGAAGTTGGTAGTGGGACCAGGTGGGTGGGAAGCAACTTCAAGCAAGTGTGCGTGCTCTGGCTTGGGCCCAGGCTCAACACCGGCCTGGCCAATGACCCTGCGCCAGTGCTATTATCCCGCTCCCTGCGCCTCCGCTGCCGGCTTCATTGTCGTCGCTACATCCCCCATGGTCATTGTCGTTGTCTGCCATTGTTCCAACATTGTTCTATAAGTACCAACTATATATTGGTTTGCACGCTTCAAGTTCGGAGTTTGAACGTGTTCTGAACCTGAACCGAACCGCGTTGAACCTAAACCTAAAGTTCAGTTCGGAGTTCAGCTTTCGGCTGAACCTGAACCGAACCGAACCTTGCCATCTCTACAATTACCTGATAATAGGCCTATGACAGGGTGGGCTTTCCAGGCTCACAGGCCTGAAAGTGTGTAGAGATATATCATATAAGTACTTATGAGGGTGGTGAACTATGAAATTAGAGTGTATATACACTATATTTTCAGTGTCTTTACACCCATATAGGGCTCAAATCTTTTACATACAAGTGACATATCAGTGACGTGACTGACGCAGACTCTCACACCTTGTTTGAATCGTGACACCCCACCCTTTCGCCACCCTCCCCTAACTTGAACTACGTGCTCTATGTCCCATCAACTGCAAACAGCCATGGACGATGCTGTCAACGTCTGTCTTTACCAGCAGGCGGTGACGACGGAACTGCCTCCGTCCTTCCGCCGGCGTGACTCCAAAAGCTGTTTCGCACCCTCACCAGCGCCGACCGGCAACCATGACATCATCCACGGGGCAGCTTTAACCTTTCGCCCTGCACTGGGGCCATTGTCGGCCACCACCCAAGTCCCATTGTCCAGCGGGGCCAGCATGGTCGAGGCTCGCGCTCTGTCAGCCTACGCTGCTCGACACGAAAGTGCGATTGTCGGTGCCGCCCTGGGGAGCGGCGTCGCGGCCATCGCGGTGTCCGTTTCGCCAATCGAGCCGTCGTCAGACTTCGATTCGCCTGCGACGGGCCAGTGGGTTGTGTGGGCGGATGCAGGGCACGTGCAGTCTCAGTTTGCGTATAATCTCGCTGTCGAAACTGGCGTGGGTGTGCTCATGCGGCCAGCAGAGGCAGCGCCGCCAGAGCTTTGGCTGACCACTGGCACCGTGTTAGCCACAAACTTCCCACCGCCCATTCCATCCACTCAACCCCCATCAACCCCTTCGAACGAGGAAATCCTACTGTGCCCCTCGGATACACAGTCTCCCCCGATGCCTCCATATGCCCCATATCGTCCAGGATACTGTGCCCCGCTGCCTGAGCCGTCTCCCGGGCCGCACGAAGACGACACCCAGCCGAAAAACTCTCCAGTCACGAAAACCACGCGAGTCAGGATAGGCAATGGCGCCGCCACCGCGTCGCTCGTCATCCAGGTGTGTGTCCCTTGGTCTAGATCTCCTGACACGCATTGACTGCTGGTCCTGCAGCGAGGGCAGCGCACTGAGTTATTCATGCGAACCCTGACTGTTCCGCTCACCGCAACACTCGGCCTCACCTGTGGACGGTACGAGCTGGCTGGTGGTTTCGTGACCGTGGCCTCGAATGGTCTGCCGCACATCGTTATGATGTTTGTGTTCTTCCCCTGCGCAACTTGCCTCGGATTAATGTCCTTTTGTAGGCAGCACGATCAGTACAGTGTGTCCCGAGGGTATCCGGTATGTGTGCCGCTCTCCTCAGCTGCTCGCTGACGCGTCGTGTTTATAGCCAGCCGCGCCATTTGTGCTCCGGCCGCACCCTAGCACAACCCTCGCTGTGACATCGGAGGTCATTCCGCGCCCAGCCGCCGACGTTAACGGCGACATCAATATCACCGTCACGATTGCTCCGCGGGTAAGGGCCGCCGCACGCGCACAGCGCGACCCGCCATACGCACTGCCAATCACGTTTACCGCCCAGTGGCTGCTTCGGGACCGGTCCCAGTCCCCGATTGGCCGCTACAATATGCTTGTCGTCGAGGTGGGCATTGACGTTTCTTTCCTCCCTCTTCTGTTGCGCTATTGATGCCCTGTATAGGCTACCGAGGACGTGTGGGGCGGGGCCGGGCCGGGCGACTGGGCAGCGGACGCAACGACAGAAACTAGGCTGGACTTGCCGACGTGCAGCGACGGTGCGGCGTCTGGCCCCGGGCCCGGCCCGACTGCCGCAAGCCTCGCGGCGCTGCAAAGCCGTCTGCAGCCTGCGCTGCCGACGTGGTATACTGTGGCAACGCAGGGCCTCTGGTCACGGTGGTCCTGGAACAAGTCGGTAATACGGGTTGGCGAGCGCTACCAGATGCATGGGCGCAAGGGGTGGATGGAGGTGATCGTGGGCGCTGTCGTGTGCTTCCCAGCGGAGGGAGGGCGTGTGGTGTTCAACAAGCTGCAGCTGGAGCGGGGGATGCGGTTTCGGGAGTATTGAGAGCCTGGAAAAAGAAGGACGAGTCACAGCAACGCAGTGCGGGACGCAGTCGTCGGGCCGGCACGGCGGCCGAGACCAACACGACTCTTCATTCACAAACCTCACCTGGATCACGCCCAGACCGCCGCAAGCCGAATGGGCGCCTATCCTTAGCCGCCGACGGCCATACGCAAAACGGCACTGCTCATAGCCTGGCTTACACGATCACTCGGCCGTCGCCTTGGGTTCGGCGTCACACCGCTCCCCCGGACTGGTACGGCGACGAGGGCGCTCTCGTACGCGCTAAGCCGCGGGCACTCCGGCGCTGGTGTGCGCGGTGCCGGTCGTCGACGGCTGTGGCTCGTGCATTGTACTGGAGGGCGTGTAGGAATTCCGAACCCGGGCGTGCTCAGCCGTAGTCGGAGTGGCGGACGCGGGATTAATATGGTTGCAGTGCTGACTGTGCCGTCCATTACTACCGGCTCAAGTTGGCTTTTCTTCAAACGAAATACTTATCAAGCGAGCCGGTGCAGAAATACCTCTATGACTAGGTGATGATCCCGCTGACGCTGACCTGGCGACGCCGAAGACTCAGTTGGCGGCTGGGACTCATGGGAGCAGGTACATGACACCATATAATCAAACTACTAGTAGTCTCGAGAGAGAAACATATAGAAATAAGGAAGTACGATACAAGTATCAATCATATTTGGCGAATAATCACCGATCTGAGCCAATCCACGTTTTAGTCAGCAAATTTCAGCTGAGCTGAAAATTTGTGACTGTGACGGACTTGTGTCACACACATTTTCAGCTGGGCTGAAAATGTGTGTGACATAACCGTGACCGTGAGTAGTGACCCACTTGCGTCACAAACATTTTTAACTAGGCTAAAATGTGCTGACATAATCATGACCGTGAGTCGTCACCCATCTGTATCACACACATTTTTAGCTAGGCTAAAAATGTGCTGACATAACTGTGACCGTGACTCGTCATGCATGCCATAACCATTTTTTGCTGGGCTAGAAATATGCTGACATAACCAGCCTAACAATTATTCATAGAATTAAGTGTAAACATATAATAGATGCAAGAAGAAGATTGAGCATATAAAACATATCAGCAAGCATAAGGAATGAATATATATAAGTTTATGAGAGAGTGAAAACCCTTGGGTAGCTTGGTATAGCCAGTACTTAATCTACTTGTTCCTCCCTTCAAAGGTTGGTACTGAGGGCTCAGCTTCAATCTTGGGCCTTTTGGCAGTAGATACAGAATCTTTATCCAGAAAGCTCAGCTTTCTTTTGTTGTCATCACCTCTGAGAACTGGGTTGTCTGCCTTCAAGATTTTTGAGCCACCTTCAGTGGGGTCCAAGATAGGCACAGGCTCAGGACCTGCTGGAATAGGAGGCTGGGTTAGAAGCCGCTGGATAGACAGATCAAATACCAGTTTGCAAGACTGGAAGGGGCAGTACCACCAGGTCAACCACACAGACCATGTGTCCCTCCTTGCCCCGTATACGCCTTGGGTTGCTTACTTTGTAGAGTCCGTCATAGCGAAATCTAGGCTTTGTTATTAATATTGCTTGACATACAAAAGAGATCATACCCTGACGTTGGCGCATACTTGGACTTGCATTTGTCCCCACGGATGACCCGGAGTGGCTTGCCCTGCTCAGCACTCCTCTGCCAAGCAAATGCCAAGAGTGAGCCATGTGGACAGAGGGGACATGTGATTAATCACCTTGAGGGACAGATTTCCAGGGTTCTTCCAGTCCTGGTCTCCCTGCTGGGGGGCATTCCCCTGCATGGCCTATGCCACCAATCAGTGCAAATCCTCCCACTCTTGCAGCAATGGCCCACCTTTGCAAGCATGCTCTGGCCTTTGCCTGGATAGATGGGATAGGTCAATGCCCCTGCCAAGCCACTGACTGTGTGTTACCTTGCCCAGTATAGACACTACCCCATGGGATCAGCTCTTTCCACTCCACACATGCAAAGAAGAGTGGCATACATGAAATCACCCATATCCTGGTCGTCCTCGTATCCGCCGTTCACGACGACGGAGCGCGCGCCGAAGGTGGTGTCGGCCCAGATGCCCCGCGCGCAGCGGCGCGTGCAGCCCTGATTTGGCAAGGGCGGCGCGGTTGGGGAAGATCGCGCCGACGGGAATATCTTTGATGTTGCTGTATGCGCGGGAGAAATCAGTGAGTGGAAGAAAATTGGGGGGCACGAGAACGCACGGCATAGCGGCTGAGAATTGGTAGATGATTGTGGTTGAAGAAAGGAAAGCAATTTGAATTTGACTACAAAGGTCACGAAAGTTTTTATACGAGTCACGACAATGGTTGTGACGCGCTTGGCGCGCACATGTCCAAGGCTTTGGTCCAGATGCATCTCTACTCCCCAGTCCATCCATAATTCCCGCGCCCCCAACAGAGTAGTACCCATGACCAGCTTCACCCTCGCCGTTCGCGCGTTCCGGACGCAAAGTCGGCAGTGTTGTGGGTCCCGCCGGACGGCTGGACGATCCCCGATCATTGAACCGCGAGGTCACCGTCTGTTAGACCGGGGAGCAGGGGGACGATGCGTGCGCAGAGAGGGAGATACCCGTGATCGAGAGGCTGGTCACGCAGGGTGACGCGGACAGGAATGTGCAGAGGAGCGGCACGAGCACGTGTTCCGGCGCGTCGAGCATGCTGCCCGTGACCGCGAGTGATCGCAGCCCAGGAGCGACGAGCGCGCTGAAGAAATCGTTGACGAACCCGGTGGAGCAGCGCGTGACGCGGAGGCTGCGCAGGGCCGAGGCCCGGTTGAATACTCCAGCACGCGCTCAGGACGCCGGCAGCGGTGTCGTGTGCAGGATCGCGAGTACTTCTTTGGCACTGACGTTTGTGAGTGTGCAGTGCGTCACGTGTGTCCAAGGGATCGACGCCGGGAGTGTCCTGCGCGGCAGCCGAATGCACACGTTGGCCACGTGTGGGGCAGAGGAGAGCCCGCCGAGGCTGAGTGAGTTGACATGCCGTAGCGTCAGCGTGTGGAGACGAGAAAATGTTGCCGATGATGTCTGGAGCTGATTGTGTTGCAGGTCGGTGAGCTCGAGGTCAAGCGTTTCCCATCGACTTGCGCTTGTCAAAAGGTGCCTGAAGACGAGAGCTCACTTTCGGGCGTGCCCGATGGGCGTGGGCCTGCGCCAACGGGCGTGGATGGGCGTGGGCGTGGGTTTTGGCTGACGATCAAAGCCCACGCCCGTCCATCAGGCGTGCCACGCCCATCGGTCGGCTTGGCACGCCCGTTTGTCCTGCTTGGCACGCCGGACAAACGGGCGTGGGCTCCTATATACTGTAAGTATTTCGGAGTGTGGCAGCTGAATTGCTTCCTACTCCGCCATCCTCAGTCGGCGGCGAGGGCCGCAAGCCGTGCGGGCTGGCGGGCCGGTGGCGGCCACCAACATAGGCCGGCCAGACCGGGATCGATCCCGCCCCGGCCCCGACTACGAGTCGGGCTAGACCATAGCATAACCCCCGCCAACCAACGGCGCAGAAGACGACGACGAGGAGCAACGACACAAACGTGTCGCTGGTGCGCCGGGAAAGGGAAGGGGCCATGTCCCGGGCAGGAGAGCATTCCGTTGACGCTGCTGCGGTTGCCACTATCCGGCCTGGCGCAGGGGCGCAGGTGCAGCATCGGCCGCGGCCTCCCTTTACTCTCGGCGGGGCCAACCAGCCATTGAGCACCGAAACCGGCTTTGCCAAGTCAGCTTGGCACCGCGGTTGACGACGATCAGCACATTTTGATGTGTTCTGATTGGAGCCCACAGGGTGTCGCGGACAAGTGACCGCCACATAACGGTCGTCGCGGTGTCGCGGTCGCCGCCATAGGACCGGGGATAGCCTCCGGGGAGGGTCCCACGCCCGCCCACGCCACGCCCACGCCATCACGGGCGTGCACGCCCGTTGGCGCAGGCCCACGCCGTTTGGCCACGCCCACATGCGAAGTCTCGCCTGAAGACCGTGGTATCGGGGTAGGAAAAGCTCACTCGGAGCTTCGTTTCGCGGGCGCGTTCAAGCTGAAGGTCAAGTAGCCAGAATGATCCAGACGGTCTGTCCTCGCGTCCATCAACTTTCCACTGAATTCGCACGTCCCGCCAGAGCGACGGTGTGGCGAGCGCGACCGCCCGCCAGCGCGCTGACCCGCATTGCCACGAGTGCGCGGCAGTTGGCCGTAGCAGAAGGGTCAATGTCGTGTAAGTGCAGGAAGATGAGCGACAGCAGCTCGGGCGGGAGTGTGGCTTGCATCAACGTGGTGGTCGAGGTTTGTGTTGTTGATTGTGACGTCACGGGCATGTGATCGCGGGAACCGCACCCCCACTCGCGTCTTCTTCCGTGTCATCCACCATCTACTTGTTGCTGAGCCTGCCTACGAAGGAACACCGGTGATGCGGTTGAGTAATTAATTCAAGAATTAACGGGCTAGGAGTGTCAGTGAGTCGAGGTAGAGAGGCTCCGAAGTCTACTGAGTACTGCTGTGCCGCCGGCCCATGCAGTCTCCCGTGTTCCTCAGCTGTTTATGATGTCGCAACATCACTATGCAGTAATCTGATGAATAGACCAACCTGTAGTTGATATAACATTACTCAAGGGGGGCGCAAGATGCCTATCACGGCTATGGGGCAGGGGGGGGGGGTCCAGAGCCTAGAAAAAAAACTTTTGTGTTTGGTGTAGGGATGCTTCAAGAGGTACTTAGGAGGCCTTAGGAGGCCTTTCATATGTAGATCTTCCATGTTAAATGCCATTTGATACCTTTGAATGCAGTGAAACCCAGTTTTTTTGGTGAAGTGACTAAACTTGTCACAGTCTTTGATAGCATCAACATATCATCATGATGCAAGAAGCAATACAACTTTATATGAAAGTTCATTTAAAGGCATAGGAACATTATAATAGCCTAGTTACAATTTAATTTAATCACATTTTCCATTTTCAAGACCTCTATCGATCATTTTGATGCGATTTTGATCGCATCAGTCACGTTTTCGTGGGAGATCATTACTATATAAGGCAGGAGGGGGAGGGGGGGTCCAGTGGGCGCAAAAAAAAACTTTCAGCCCTATGTATGTAATTTCCACCTTGCGCCCCCCTTGACATTACTCATCAATGACTTTTCACCTGGGTATCAGAACATCAAAACATTATTTCTAGCTGACACAACCTAGTTGCAGAGCATGTTTTGCTAGCATTAGATACCCCTCACATACCTCTTCATTCTCTGATATTTGCATTCCCAAAATTTCAATCGCTAACATGTGAAAATATATTTTCTTAAGAAATTTCCAAAAAAAATAAAAATATCGGAACATCAAAACCTTGTTTCTAGCTCACACAATCTAGATGCAGACCATATTTTGCTGGCATTAGATACCCCTCACATACCTTTTCATTCTATGATATATAAATTCCCAAAATTTCAATCACCAACAGGTGAAAACATATTTTCTTGTGAAATTCTAGAGAAAAGAGAAGATATATTATATTATATTATCTTGTGGGTAGCTTACGTCACCTTAGCATCAGGACATCAAAACATTGTTTCTAGCTCACATACTCTAGATGCAAACCATATTTTGCCAGTGTTAGATAGCCCCCACATACCTTTTGCTTGTATGATTTTCAAATACCCAAAATTTCAATCGCTGACAAGTGAACAGATTTTTTTTAGGGGGGGGGGTGTCAGACTGCGGGTCGGGCTGTGCAAGAACCTCTCCTAAGAACGCACGCCCGGAACAGAACAGACGGATCGTCAGGCCTGCAAGTACGGCGAGTGGGGTAGATCGAAACCAAAAGGGCCTGTTAACTCGGTCCCTTGTCGCTGTCGGTGGTCGAAGGTTCGAATCGGGTCGTGTCGTGCCCGATGAGTCGCTGGCACCTCCTTGCACGGAGTAAGGTAGTTCTTCAGACGATCTAAGTGATAGAGTACATAGTACACTATCGTGGTCCGCAAAGGGGTGATCGGACACCCTGGCCTCTCCTGCTCCTCCTCGCCCCCGTTCCTGGCCGCAGAGGGGACAATCGTACATCCCTTGTGGGCCAGGCGCTACTCCTAACCTCATAGAACTCCTCCCCAGTTTGAGTTGGGCTCGGCGACGGCTCGACGCGTCGTTCTCGGTCACGTGCTTCCCACGTGTGTGTTCCTCCTACTGGGGCGCATGTTCCCCGTCGTCACGTGCTGCGTGCTACGGGCCCGCGATGGCCCGACAACAGCGCCAGAGCGGACGGGCCAGGTCTTATCCGTGACAGGTGGGATTCAAAAAAAAAAAAAAAAAAAGATAACTTGTAAGGCAAGTTTTCAGTATCAATCATAGGTGTATTCTTTTTATCCCTGTCAACTCCAAAGGTGGATACTGAACAAAAAGAAAGAAAAAGGATAGAGTAATATACAATTGTCACAAAAGTTGAATCAAGTTAAAAATCTGATCCAGGATCAGGATACTTCTTGCAGAACATAGCTAAAAAAAGATGTCAACATGACATTTAGCAAGTGAAAGGTAAAATAAAACAACTCACAAAGACAGATCTGGAGAAGATATTAATATAAGGAGTTGTAAGTCCAAAATGAAATAACTCACAACTGAAAGCACAATATACACCATTGGCTCAGAGCTTCTTGGAGAATGAATAACTCCCTTGGGCAGCCTTGCATAGCCTGCCATCTGTTTCTTCCTTCCTTCAAGAGTTGGCACAGGGGCTTCAGTGTCAACTCTAGTCTTCTTGAGCACAGGAGCAGAGGTTTCATAGGATAATTCCAAGGGCCGTTTTTGAGTGCTGGCACCAGAAAACAGCTCCTCCAACTTGGCACCAGATACAATTGGATAGAAGCCCTGGGTTGTGCCTGCTACCTTTCCTGTTTCCATAAAGGAGGATGAAGATGATTCCTTTGCTTTGCCACTCTTAGCATTGACCAAGTTCCACAGGGAGACATATTCAGGGTCTTCTGAAAGAGGTTGCTGACCTGGAATCCTCTTATAACACATAGATCAAACACTATTTTCAAGGACAGAACTTAAAAACCATACCTCAAGGACCACTTGACAAATTTTGTGTTCCTTTATGCCAATAACACACTGTGCCTTGGTCACAATATAAAGCCCGTCATAGCGATATCTAGTTGTGTTGCAGCCGGCTTTGAGATTGCGAGGTGAAAACCGGCTCATACCCTGACTTGGGAGCAAACTGTGACTTGCACTTTGCTCCTCGAATGACCCGGATTGGATTGCAAGTTTCATAGCTTATCTGCCAAGCAAGCCAAGAGTCAACCATGTCATGGTAGTGATGGCATGTGATTGATCACCTTCAGGGAGCGGTTTCCAGCATTCTCCCAGTCTTGATCACCCTGCTGAGCAGCATAAAACTTGAAGGGCTGTACCACCCATCAGCCTCCATTCTGCAGACTGCAATTGTCCTACCTCTTTGCGCGCCCCCCTTTGCCTGGGTGGAGAAAGTCAGTCTATGCCCCTACTGAGCTGCGGAATGCTGCCTTGGCCGGTATAGACACTGTGTGATATGTATCAGCTCTTTCCGGTTGCCAGATGCAAAAAAGAGCGGCATACATCACATCACCCCAGTCTTCGTCGTCCTCGTACCCGCCGTTCAAGACGATGGAGAGTGCACCAAACTCGACGTTGGGAGAGATGCCCGCATACAACGGCGCGTGCAGGCCGGCCTCGCGCAGGGCAGCGCGGTTGGAGAAGGTTGCCCCGATGGGGATGCCGGAGATGTGACCGTATGTGCTGGGAGCAAGTGAGAGGAAGAAAGGCTATGGTGGAGCGGACGCACGACATGTCAGGATACTCTTGGTGGTGGTTAAAGGCAGAAAAGAGCAGAAAGTGACTCAGGGAGTCTTCTGCCGGAGTCACAAGTATTTATCCGCGTCGCAGAATGATGATGGAGTTGATGTGATGTGACTCCCAATTTCTTGCCATTGAACAAATACTATTCCAAAGTCAGCCGCGGCACTCTCGAGCCAGTAGCACGACGTTGACGTCGCCCAACTTGTCCGCTAGTTGTTTTCATTCCTCGAATCATTTTGTCCGGGCCTGTAAATATCCCAGTACAAGGGAATCAGCGAAAAATATAATAATAATAATAATAATAATAATAAGCCCATATGGTCCAATATGGTTCAACATGTGGATTACAAGCCCGGGTCCGACCTGTCGTCATCCGCCTCGCCGTACCAGATCTCCACCATATCATATTTGTCCTCGCTTCCCGGCGTCACCTCAAAGTTCATATCCACCGTCATCCCACCCGCCCATAACCCGTCCAGCGACCGGTCGAAGAGGAAGGTCCGCCCTGCGTAAAATAACCACACCTTTTCAATGTCTTCCTCCGGCTGTGCAGCATTGCGAACAGGAGTGTGTTGGGGACTGATAGCCTGCCGACTAGCATCAAGTCGGTCAGATGCGGCAGCCATGGCCAGCTTGTGCCAGTGCGCGCGAGGCCGGTAACTTGAAGTGTCAGCGCCCCAATAAGGGAGCGGGTGTGGACATCGGCTCTAGGTCGAGGGTGGGCACGGTGTCGTAGCGTGAGCGTACGGAGGCTCGGAAATACTGTGGGGTATGCCACGAGGAGAAGCCGCTGGGGTGAGCTCGATAGCAAGTACTGTAGTAATTTATTCAATTCGGCGGTCACGCGTCACACCGCCCCTCTGACGCCAAAATATTTCGGCGTGTCACACGCCACAGCCTGGATGCCGAACGTCAAACACCCATCAGACCATGAAAAAAAATTTGGGCCGCTAAGTAGGCCGAAATATTTCGGCAGTCACGGACATCGACAGGAGGCGCCGAAAATTTAATTTCGGCGCCGATGTCACACTATTTTGGCGCGCCGAATTGAATAAATTGCTACAGTACCGCCCATCGGTCCGCTGTCGCCAGAAGTACTAGTAGTTTGAAGACCATTATATCTGAGTAAGCGAAGCGAACTCTGAGCGTCATCTGGCCAGCGCGTTGAAGTTGAAGGCCGAGCAGGTCGCGTAAACCCTGCGGCTTGCGCTTGTGCCCGTCGACAGTCCGCTGGATATGTATGTCCTGCCATAGCAACAGGTTGCCCAACAGCGGTGGCAGACTGTCGCTGCCACATGTGTGCGGCAGTTCGCCGTAGCCACGGGAGAGATTTCATGCGCATGTTGGAAAATGAGAGCAAGAAGCTCACTGGCAGCGGGAAGTGTTGTTGTCAGCGTCGGGCTCGGGCCGTATCGGGGTGTCGGGGGGTCCGACTTCAAGAGGGTCTGAGGAGCACGAGAGTTGGGTATTCGCCCGGAGAATAGACGATATTAGCCTAACGACTACATCTTGTAAGTACGGGTTTTATACACCAGGGTATTAGGGATAGATCGGATGGGCGCTACGTAGGGTCGCAGGGGTGAAGGGAAGGGGCTGAAGGAATGGGGGAGCGTCGAGGAGTGTGTCGGTATGCGGGCCCGTGCGGCCTCCGGTCGGGCCCGTGTGGCCTCGTGGCCCGGCGGCCCGACCCGAACCGTGACATCACCCCCCCCCGTTGTGGGCGGCGCCTTGACGCCCTATGGGTACGCATTGCCTGATCTTCCTTCCGGATTTTCCATCGCCCGTTTACAAGTTCTTCGCGGGGCGCGAAAGGGTTGAGAATATAGAAATCCTCCAGTGCCTCCTCCGCTCCTTTGAGCTTGTCCCGCAATTCCCACGTCCACTCTTCCCGAGGATAGCCTTTCCATTGAATTAAGTACTTCAGGCGATGTCGACCTTGCTTTGCGTACGAGGGAGATGGCCTCTACTTCGTAGTGGGGCTCGCCGTCCCGCATCTCGGCTGGGGGCGGCGGTACGGCCCGCTGATGATCTGCGACTGGGGCGTTCCAGGGTCGTAACAGCGCGGTGTGGAAAACGGGGCTCACGAGCCAAGTCGGGGGCAAAATTAGCTCGTAGGGACGTTTTACCGACCTTGCGTTTGACTTCGAACAGCCCGAATCTTTTATCGTCCAGTTTCTTTGAGGGTCGGTCACTGGTGAGGTTCGTACCCTGGAGGTATACTTTGTCCCCTTCGGCATAGTTCGGGTCCGGAGAGCGCTTCCGATCATAATATTTCTTCATGGTCTCTTGCGCTTCTTTCATGGCTTCGGCCGCATCGGCCCGAGCTTCCTTCATCCGCTCGGCAAAGACTGTGGCGGCTTCAGTCGGGACCTCTTGCGGAGCCTCGGACCCCTTTCTCGGGTGGAATCCCAGCGTGAGGAAGAAGGGTGAGAACCCTGTCGAAGAGTTTACTTTATCGTTGAATGCAAATTCCGCTAGGGAAAGCCAGTCGGACCAGTCGCTCTGCTGGAAGTTGCAGAATGTTCGGAGGTATTGTTCAACTTCCATATTCGCGCGCTCTGTTTGCCCGTCCGTCTGTGGGTGGTAGGCCGATGAAGATCGAACCTTGATACCCAGCAATTTGCTCAAATCGCTCATGAAATGCCCGATGAATTGCTGTCCCCGGTCGCTAGTCACCTCCTCTGGGAATCCGTAATCCTTCCAGACGTGATCCCGGTACAGCCGGGCGACTCCTTCCCCGGAGATGTTTCCTGTGCACGGGAGTACGCGGATCCCTTTACCCAGCCTGTCGATGATCACAAGGATTGCGTTATACCCGGAGGACTCGGGTAATTGAACGATCAGATCGATGGATATCCGCTGCCATACCCGAGTCGGCACGCTGTTCGGGACCAAGGTCCCTACGGGGCGTCTCAGGAATATCTTTGTTCACTGGCACAACGGGCAGGCCCGTACATAAGCCTGGCAGTTGGTCTGAATCGACGGCCACCAGTAGTTGCGGGTCGTAAGCTCGAGGGTTCGATGCCATCCCGGGTGTCCCACAATAGGGATGTCGTGGTGTTGTCGTAGCACCCGATGCCGCAGTCCCATGGCAGGGGGTACGTATACGAGTCCATTCTGAGTCTTGAAACCATCGTGCTGTTCCCAGCCTTCCAGTTCCCCCTCTTCCCAGAGTTTGAGGACCTTTTCCTCCGTCGCCGGTTCGGCCTGTCGGATCAACTCCATCAACCCGTCGCCCTCTGTATGCTCCAACGTGAGCATCGCGCGGATCGCGTGTTCCTTAAATAGGCCCGCCGGTAGTAGTACAATGTCCTGGTTGTCCCCCTTCCCGTTGTCGTACCCGTTTCTTCGGGATAACGCGTCGGCCCGCCCGTTCGTTTTCCCCGGCTTATGTAACAAGGAGAAGTGATACTCACTCAATTCCAGGGACCATCGGGCCTGTCGCCGGTTCAGCTTCTTAGCGGTCATGAAGTACTCCAGGTTCTTGTGGTCGGTCCAAATCTCAAACGGCTTTTCTCCCCCGTTTTGGAGATAATGTCGCCATTCGGTAAGGGCCCGCATAATGGCGAGCATTTCTTTATCGTGGATGTCGTAGTTGCGTTCGGTGTCGTTCATAGCCCGAGAGAGAAACGCGATCGGTACCCATTTCCCTTCTTGTTCTTGTGAAAGGACGGCCCCGGTAGCGAAGTCGGAGGAGTCCGCTTCGACCCGCCATGCTCCGTGATCCGTAGGGAAGTGTAGAACTGGTTCGTCCGTGACCCGGTCTATCAATGTCTGGAAGGCCTCCTCCTCTTCCAGTCCCCATTTCCATGGGCTATCTTTCCAGGTCAGTCGAGTAAGTGGCTTGGCGTAAGCGCCGAAGTCCTTGATAAAGCGTCGGTAGAAGTTGAGAAACCCCAGGAAGCTTTGCACCTCCCGCAGATTACGAGGTCGGGGCCATTCGCGCACACCAGCGACCTTGATCGGGTCCATGCGGAGTTGCCCGCTCCCGATGATCACGCCGAGGTATTCGACTTCGTCCCGCTCAAAGTCGCATTTGTCCGGTTTCAGATATAGTTGGTTGTCCTTTAGGATCCGTAGGACCTCCTTCACCGTCGCGCGATGTTCGGAGAGGTCGCTGGAGTATATGAGAATGTCGTCTAGATACACGATGACAAGCTTTCTCACTGGTGTGAGAAAGAACAAGAAAAGCAAGAGCCCTTCAAACTGCTCTAACTGCAACCAAAGGCTACAGCACAACCAGAGAGGGGGAAGAAGAAGGAAGACTTTGAACTGTGGGGAAACTCTGCTGGGAAACTATGTGATATGATGAACTAACTAGAGACAGGCTTATATATATACCCTACTAACTAGGAGCTAGGAGAAAGGAACAGGAACTACAGAAGGAACCATATAGGAACTAAGGAACGCATAAAGGGAGAGATCAGGAACAACTACCAAATATGAACAAACAAGCACAAACAAGCAACAACAAGCTGAAGGCTTGTCATCGATCACGCGACCCTGGGAGATCAAGTTGGAAAACAATTCATTCATCATGGATTGGAACGTGGCCGGGGAGTTGGTGAGGCCGAAAAACATCACGAGTGGTTCGAATAGGCCCCGGTTGGTAACGAACGCGGCCTTCTCTTCGTCGCCCTCCTTTATGCGTATATTGTTGTACCCCCAACGTACGTCGAGCTTGGTGAACCACCGGGTGTTACGTAACTTGTGCATGATGTCCGATATGAGGGGTATCGGGTATCGGTTTTTGATGGTGATCTCGTTCAACTTCCGGTAGTCCTGTACGGGCCGCAATTTCCCGTCCTTCTTCTTGACGAAGAAGAACAGGGACGCGTAGGGGGATTTCGAGGGCCAGATCCGCCCGGTTGCCAAGTGTTCCTTAATGAAGGCGTCAAGCTCTTTCTGTTCTTCTCCGGATAAGGGAATGCAGCGTCCTTTGATGGGTTCGGTGTCCGGGTGTAGTTCAATGGCATGGTCCCACTTCCTCC